ATAAAATTGGTCTCCCAAAAGGTACATATTAGGAGAGATCAATTGTGGACTCTTAATGATTTTCAGAAATTGCTAGGAGACATTGCCCATCTATGGCCCACTACTGGAATAACAAATTCAGAATTGAGTAATTTGTTCCAAACATTAAAAGAAGACAAGGACTTAAATAGTCCAAGAGAACTGTCAGCTGAAGCTGAGAGAGAATTGGCTTTGGTTGAAAAGAAATTACAGTATGCACACGTGGATCATTTTGATCCAAAGCTTGCTTTCTGGTTATTTTGCCCTCTATGCATTTTCCTAAAGAATATTAATGCAGAGGGAAGATATTATATTGGAATGGATATTTCTACCAAATAAACAGAATGAAAAATTAAAAACTTATGTGGAAAAGGTCTCTGGGTTGATTCTAAAAGGAAAATTGAGATTTCATCAATTAGCACAAATAGACCAAGCAGAAATTGTAGTACCTTTAATTAATGCTGAAATTGAATCATTATGGGCAGAAAATGAACATTGGCAAAGAGCTTGTAGTAATTTTTTGGGAGGGATTAAAAACAAATATCCCCAAAGCAAGAGAATTTAATTTACAAATTGAACTGACTGGATTCTTCCTCATATTATACGAGGAACACCAATTTCTGGAGCCCCTACATTTTATACTGATGCAAACAAATCAGGAAAGGCAGGTTATAAATGAGGAAATTTAAGCAGAGTGGTTCAAAGCCCTTATGATTCTGTCCAAGAGTCAGAATTATATACTATTCTCATGGTATTGATAGATTTTACAAAACCTCTTAACATAGTTACTGACTCTCAGTATGCAGAAAGAGTTGTTTTACACATTGAAACTGCTTAATTTATTTCTTATAGGTCAAAATTAACTTTGTTAATTATACAATTAGAAGAAATAATAAGGAATAGGAAACCATCCTTTATATGTAACACACACCAGATGCCTTACAGGTCTGCCTGGCCCTCTTGCACAAAGTAATGATGAAACTGATCAGCTATTGGTAGAAAATGTGCTGGAGGCCTCAGAAATTCATAAAAAAAAAAGAAACACCATGTTGATAGCAAAGGTTTGAATAAGGATTTTTTCCATCACTTGGCAACAAGCCAAGGAAACTACATGGAAATGTCCTACTTGTCCTTTATACAACCAAACTCTACTATCTGCAGGAAGTAACCCGAAGAGTACTCAAAGAAATGAAATTTGATAGATGGATGTGTTTTGAAGAATTTGGAAAATTAAAATATGTACACCACACCATAGATACATATTCAGGACTTCAATGGGCAATGGCTTTGAGTTCTAAAAAGGCTGATTTTGTAATCACACATTTGTTAGAAGTTATGGCCATCATGGAATACCTGTACAAATTAAGACTGACAATGCTCCAATGCAAAAATAACCCTTTCCTCCCCAAGTTGCTTTTGGACATGGTGTTTCATTAAGGCAAAACCAAACTAATAAACAAAAAAAAATCCTTAAGACTAGGATTATCTGCATTCTATCACATTGATGTATTTATTTGTCCATTATTTCACCAATATTATTGACTTACTATACTTCTATAAAAAAAATCACAAGCATATCAATCCTATGTACTTGTTCTCATTCAGTACAGCTTTGACTGCTGTGGAATTTTTTCTTTTCTTTATGAAGTTCAGAAGCATCTGTTTTACTGTCCACATAGCAGTTTTCTATGACTTTATTGAGTTTGCATTGAATCCATAGATAAAGCTTAGGAAAAGCTGCTATGTGTGTTATTGTTTTTATTCTTTGGCTCTTTGAGGGGCCCACCAACCAGCTCCCAAATAAGTACACAGAGTCTTATTCTTACTTAAGAATGCCTGACCTTAGCTTGGCTTATTTCTAGCCAGCTTTTCTTTTTTTTAAATTTTATTTATTTTATTTTACAATACCATTCAGTTCTACATATCAGCCACAGGTTCCCTTGTTCTCCCCCTCCCAAGCCCTCCCCTTGCCCCCAGCCCACCCCCCATTCCCACCTCCTCCAGGGCAAAGCCTCCCCCAAGTACTGCGATCAACCTGGTAGACTCAGTCCAGGCAGGTTTAGTCCCTTCCTCCTAGCCTGAGCCAAGTGTCCCTGCATAAGCTCCAGGTTTCAAACAGCCAACTCATGCAATGAGCTCAGGACTTGGTCACACTGCCTAGTTGCCTCCCAAACTGATCAAGCCAATCAACTGTCACACCTATTTAGAGGGCCTGATCCAGCTGGGGGCCCCTCAGCCTTTGGTTCATAGTTCATGCATTTCCATTCATTTTCTAGCCATCTTTTCTTAACTTAAATTGTCTACCTTTTGCCTCTGGGCTTTTTTTTTTTCTTATTTCTGTTTATCTTACTTGCACTCTTACTCCATGGCTGGCTAGGTGGCTGGCCCCTAGCATCCTCCTCTCCTTGTCCTTGCTCCTTCTCCTTCCCAGATTTCTCTTCCTATTTATTCTCTCTGCCTGCCAGCCCCATCTATCCTTTCTCCTGCCTTGCTAATGGTCATTCAGTTCTTTATTAGACCAATCAGGTTTTTTAGACAGGCAAAGTAATACAGCTTCATAGAGTTAAACAAATGCAACGTAAAAGAATGCAACACATCTTTGTATCATTAAAATAAATGTTCCATAGTATAAACAAACATAACACATCTTAAAATAATATTTCACAATACATATAGATAACAGTGAGCATTCCTCTCCATGAACTTGGAATAGCTTTTATTCGTTTATTTAATTTTTTATTTTATCAGAGTTTTGTGGGATTTTGCATACAGATCTTCTACCAACCATGATATATTTGTACCTAAGAACCCCATGTGCAAGTTTCAAATGTAAATATTTCTTTAACCTTTTTTCCTTTTTATTAAAAATTTTCATATAATATATTTTTATCATGTTCCTTCCCTTTCCCCAACTCCTCCTAGATACCCCCATCTCCTTACCCACCTAAATTTGTTATTATTTTTATATTTTTTAAATTCCAAATCCACATATTTGTTGATGTTCAGGAAAGCAATTGGTTTCTATATATCCACTCTGCAGTCTGCACCCTTGCTATAATTGCTGATTTCTCCAATATTTAAAAATCATTAAATGTTGAAATAATCTTTATTTGCAAAAAAAAAGTCATGGAAAAAAATAGTGGTAGCTTTTCCATGATCCTGCATTCAGTTTTAGCTTGTGTTTTTGTATTACACAACCATGGAATTATTCATCAGTCCTGAGAAAATAAATGAACTACGATATTAATATAATAAAATAAGCTGAGATTCAGAATGTATTGAGAGTTCATTAGATCTGCTCATTTCCTTCTCTGCATCAGGAAATTACCCGGGATTGATTACTTTTACTAACTTCAATTGATCTTTTCAAGGAAACCAGGATCAGCACCCCCACATGACCTCCATTTTACATTCATCTTCACATTACAATTGTTTCTTGAATACTTTTTATTTTATGAGTTCTGATCATAACTCCAATTTACTATTGTTAGCTTTTAAAAGTATATGGTCAAAGTACATCACATGCTTGAAACTCATATGCAATAATATGTGCTAATTAAAAAAACAAAAAAGCTATTTATTTAGCCTTTAAAAGATAGTAAAGCTGGATAGCTTACACTTCCTTTCACTACACTTTGCCAGTCTACATCTTAAATGTGTTAAGTTAATATTTATAAAATTTGATTATTTTATGTTTTATTACAGAATTCCTCTCTTAATTCTCATTTTATTTTTATCTACCTAAATGGTCTATTGACCACCCTGTTTGGAATTTCATTTTTCTAGGAAGCTTGTTTTTTGCCTCACCTCCTCTTCTCATTCTCTTTGTACTTCAGAATTCATCAGTACCAGTGTTCACGACTTCCACAGACCCTTGAGTGTTTCTTGCCCCTCTCACTTCTCCCTATTTCTATTGATCTTCTCCCCACAATTCTTTCATGTTCAAATTTTTTCTTGCCTTTTTGAAATTCAACATCTTGTTCATCACTATCCCACTCTTACAAAATATCTGTCATATTTTCATCCCTAGACGCTAGCTCAAATTTCTTAGTTTCATATACATAAACTATTTTTAATATAAAGTTGATCAACAAATCTCTAGGCCTTTGCATCTTTAATGTGTCAAAATAAAGAATCAAGCAAAATAAACAAAACTGGGAGCTCTATGAATGAAGTTCAACATGAAACTGACTCAAAACTCATTCATGTATTAGCACCAGGATTTATTAGCCATGCTTTGAAATTGAGGTTCACATGTACCAAGATCATTTTCCTTGATATTAAATTAATCTTAATAGAAATGAATGAATAGCCAAGTACTCTACTACATTCTAAATTACTAAGTCATCTTGGATAAATTGAACCACATTAGTTGTGTTTCCCTTTCCCTAGACTAAATCCATTGAAAATAGTCTCAAACTTCCTGTAAAATTATAAGAGCTTGTGTGTTCAATCTTGTGTCATATACGTAGATTTGGGAGGTGATTCCTTAGCTATTATGTTGATTGTGATGTGGTTGTATGTGGCAGGTATATGCATAAAGTATTTTTCCTTTTTTTTAAAGTCATGCCAGTAATTTTAAAAATAGTATTTATACCTTGCCCTGACATATTTGGTGTGTGTAGAAGGGAATTTTTGATGCCTAAAATTTGAAAGGGGAGATACCACGTTGTAAGAGCTGATTCTGAGGTAACCACAGTCAGTTAGCAGAAAGCCTGAAGGATGCTGCACTTGCCACAGAGCTGAAGAACAAGAAGCAGCACACAAGGAAACTGCAGAACATGCCAATTGTGAGTTCTGCTGTTCTAAGATGCAGAAATAAAAAAAAAATTTAAAAGGCCAGTCCTGGCCCCTGGGATTTCCTTTTCTCTCAGTCCAACTCTTTGGACTCCAGTCAATCCCAGCAGCTGGTGTCCCAGACAAGCCTTAGTAGGTCAGGTTAGAATCCTGCCATTCCCACTCAGCCCTTCATCTGTACTCACCACACACAGGGGCGTTTCAATGAGACTTTAAGAATCAGAGCTCTGCCTATTCTTCACTTTGGGCAAGATTCATCTTTGTTTCTCAGAAGACAATGGCCGTGCTCTTTTTTCCTCTTGGTTGAACTCTTGGCAACCTACAAAAAGCAGAGCATCTGCTGTGGTCCCAGTTTCCCACTGAACTTAATTTGCTCTTATTGTATACATCAACTCTCCAAATGTGTCTGAAATATACTTCCAGATTGTGAGTGAGTACCATGAGCTTCGTGGCTGGAATGTGTGTCTGCCATAAGCTGAGTCGGTTTAGGAACTGGAGATATATCTTAAAGACACGGATGAAGAAGCTGATCAGTGTCAGAAGCAGGGACTCAAAGCAGCTGGCAGCCCCTTTACTCCTAAAGCAGCTCTCTTCCCCTTCTTTTCTGGCTAACATGAGTATGCCATTATGGAAGAGATATTTGGTGGGTTCCTAATGTGTATGGTGAAGGGGTATAAAGTCATATAATGCATATGACCACAGACTACAAAGATATTTCAATTTAGTGAAGAATATATCAGAACACGCTATTTACTTGCTCCAGTCAACACATATTGGTCATTTACTGTGTGCTGGCCTGCTGACAGATCATCCCGTCCTTCCCTTCTTTTATCTCACATCTTCATTAGTCCTTTAGGACTATGTCTACCTTGCCTTAGGTATATTTCAGAATCCAGCCACTTCCTACCATGACTACCATCACCCTACCCTTGGGCTATTGACATCTCCACTGTGAGCTGTTAACAGACTCCCTTAACTGAATGGCTTCTGGTTTCTTCCTCTATTACCTGTTCCCCATGTAGCATCCCAGGGCAAATCTGTTAGGTTCAAGTTACCAGTGGGATTGGATACTTGTTCAAAGTACCTCAATGGATTGGAAACAGATTAAAAGCAAAACCCAAGTCTGCTTTCTCTGCGGCCCAAGTGGTCTTGTCAGGGCTTGGTCACTTTATTTTATTTGCAATTGCCCCTGTGCTGTTCTCTCCTCTCTGGCTATTCTGGCCTCTTTTCTGGTCCTCAAATCTCTTCAGCAAGTACATATCAAGACTTCTTCAGCAAGTATGCATGCAAGACTTCTTCAGCAACTACATATGGAAGTTGATTCTCTGGCAGCTGCAGAAATCTCTCTGCCTGAAATTTTCTTCTCTCACACAGGCATGTGAATCATCACACCAACTCACTCATGTCTTTTCTTGAATATTGCTTCTTCAGCTGTATGTGCTGTTCAGATGCGTGTGACAGTTTGCAAACCATAATCTCCTCGCCGATTCCCTTTCCCTGCTTTACTTTTGCCTCACACACTTGGACATTTTAGAGTGTTCTTGTTTCCTCAGGTACAGGTTCAGGAGTCAAAATGTAAAACTTCCTATACTGATAAAAGATCTGAGACAATCAACTTCTTTGGAGAAAAGGCTCAGTTTCTTTCCATTTCAGATGTCTTGCTGTGGAGCCTGGGGTGTGGCAGTGTATCACAGTAAGGGGGAATGGCAGAGTTAGTGGCTTGTCTCAAGAAAGAAAGAGAAGTAGGAGGGGTGAAGGTCACAATATCCTCTGCAAGAATATGTCCCTTAAAGCCCTCCCTTCTTCCTATTAGGTGCCGCCTCTTAAGGGTCCCATCACCGACCATTTACTATGAACTGGGGACCAAGCATTCAGCATGCTGGCCTTTGGGAGCCACTGATGTAAACTACATCCCGTTTCTTATGGAGATGTATTATTGGGTCTTCTAGCTCCAGTTTCTAAAATAGTGCTGGATCGTAGCAGCTATTCAGTGAGGATCTGAACAGACTCACAAAAGAAACAGTTGATACTGTGTTACAACACAGATAACTTCATAAACGGGCCACCTGTTCTGCAGGTGGTCTCCGGCATTGAGGATTGGATTTGCAAACTAAGCAAGGAAATAAACCCCTATACCAAAATACAGAGATCAGCACAACGTACATAAATAACACATACAGTCACCTACCTAATCCGCCCTTTTAGGATGAGAACCTCGGGGAACTGTACCTTGCAGGAGAAGGTAGGAATCCTAGGCAGAGAGAATACTGCTCTGTCTTCCTTTCAGCTCCCATCTTCTTCCTTGCTAGGAACAATAAGAGGCAAGTCTGGTAAGGCAGGCAGTAAAACACTCATGTGGGATGCCATACATATGATACACAGAGGAAGCTTCACTGAATACAGAGGATCCCTCAGAAGAAAATCAAGATGAGAGAATGTTGAAGAAAAGGAATAGAAATGAAATGGTCAGATGCTTCTTCAGGAGCTCGGGTGATGATCAGTTGCTAAATCACCACAGTGACAAGAGCAATAATGATGATTCAATTGACCAGAGAGATGATGGGAAGAGTCGACAGGATGTGAAGTTCATGAGTTCTGGTTGGTGATGGAGGAGAAAAGCCTAAGAGAAGAAAGATGGCAGAGTGGCTTGGCTGATCTGATAGATGAGGGTCCCGTTAACAGAAGAGAAGAAGACAGGCATGACAGTAGAGTAAACTGCATTTTCACACTCTGGTTTAAGGTCCCCAGCAATAGCTGCCTATCTCCTTAGCATGTGGTTGGTTGTATCTAGAGAACAAATATTTAATTTTGAGCATGTAAAGAATACATACATAGATAAAAAAAACTAATAGATTTCCATATGTGTATGTATGTATCACACAAATTCAATAAGCATTTTTTTGTTTGTTTTTCAAGACAGGGTTTCTCTGTGTAGCTTTGGAGTTTGTCCTGGAACTCACTTAGTTAACCAGGCTAGCTTCAAACTCACAGAGATCTGCCTGTCTCTGGCTCCCAAGTGCTGGGATTAAAGGCATGTGACACCACCACCCAGCCCTAAAAGTATTATCTTATTACCAACCTAATTTTATCAGTATCCCCCCCATGTCCCTAAACCTAGGCTGCAAAGATGTATCAGAAGTTAGCACTTACTGCTGTTACAAAGGACTCCACTTCCGTTTCAGTACCCTCTTGGTGGCTCACAACTTTTTGTAACTCCATTCCCAGCATACCAGTCCCCTCTTCTGGCTTTCATGGGCACCAAGTATGCATATGGTGCACATACGTACATGCAGGCAAAAGACTCATACACATAAGATAAAAAATATTTTTAATTATAAGAGCAGTCTCAATGTCATTTTCACATGAAGAAATAATAATATCAGGGTAAAATTTTATTACTAAATATCCTGTTATGTGAAAATTTCCACCACTGACTGTGCATGAGTTTTAAATGGAGTCAGAATTGAAACATTCAGGATGTCTGCTAAGGTTTCATTTAAAATCTATTTTCCTATTTCCCTCTATAGATTTTCTCACTTCTTCCTCCTCTTCCTCCTTCTGTCTTTTATCCCTTCCCTCTTTTGTTTCCCCCAATTTAAAGTTCATGGGTTTTTTCCCCCAAGTTTAACATATTTTCCATTTGCTGACTGTGCCCAAGTGATGCACTTCCCTTTGTAGTTCCTATGAACTATGCACTACGCCTGTATATTTTATCAACATCAAGTTTATTCTTTCAACAAGAAAGTCCATAGACAACGCAGACATGTTTTTCTACCACTGGGCGCAAGATGTCTGTTTACGGCCCATTCCTTGATATTAACAGCTACTGGTGTTCAGTACCTGGATCTGTTATCTTATTAAAGATGGTGACATTCAGTCTTATTAATGCTTTCCTACATTTCTGTTTCCTTGAAGAAAGAATAAGAAAACAGAAATAGCCGTGTTAGGTTGCCTTTCTAAGTATAAATGAGGACTGAAAAAAAAATGTATACTAACTCTTCCATGAGGAACTCCTGGGTGGGAATAAATCTAGACAACGCCAACTGTGACCACAGATGACATGAGCCACCTGAAAGTCACTGATAGAGCATTCGAGGAGGGAGGGTGTTTCATGGAAGAGAGTAATCTGCGGTGACCCAGATAGTGAATACTAAAGTCCCTGCCAAGAAGTGTCCGAGAGCAGAGCACTGGCAGGTAGCCCAGCATGTGAGGCACAGGGGATTGGGTGAGTTTCAGGTCCTCTGATTAGCAGTTCAAATGCTGCCTGTTGAAAAGTCATTGTGTGTGGAGGAGTAAGGTAGCAGGAAAGTAAGAATTCTAGGTTGAAGAAAAACTTGGGGCTGCCAAGAGGGCTCAGCACTCGAAGATGCTTGCCTCACGGTGATGCAAGCCTGACCACCTGCACATGAGAGTGGAAGGAGAGAACTCACAAAGTTCTCCTCTGGCCTCTGACATACGTGCACTCTGACACACACGTTAAAAACAGGGGTTAAGTAAATATTTCGAAGTCTAATCTCTGTGAATTTTTTTCCTCATGGAACAAGCCTTGGAGAGAAAGGTACAGGCCTACCTCAGCTTCTTACCAAACTCACCCAGCTTACACTAAAGCCATTGGGGGTCTTGGTTTGGTTTTGGTTTTCTCTTAAGCTCCATAGAATGGAGACTGCATTTCTCACATTATATTTTAAGTTCTAAATAAATAAGAATATACTTGGCAATCTGTATCTACAGGTTCCACAGTTATAGATTCAGCCAACTATGGGGGGACAGGAAGGAGCAAAGGAATTGTGTTTCTATACAATAGCAAGTAGATAATAATTATAATAATAAATCACTTGCAAAAGCATTGAAAAATACCAAGTCTAGGAATAAATCTAGCACAGCAGAAAGAAAACTATAAAAATCTTCTTACTATAAAATAAAGAACATACAAACAGGGAAATATTTCATATTTATAGTCTTAAAGCTGCAGTATTATCAATATTTTAATTTTTCTCCAGATTTAGTTTAATTCCCTTTAGTATACCAGCAGATTTTGGGGGGGCATGTTGAAATTAGCAAGCTGATTCTAAAAACTTATCTGAAAATACACAGGATAAGGATGAAATGAGGCAGTCATGAAAAATGAAAACAATGCCCAACCACTTCAAACCCCAGCTGTTGAGACCTATTATAAAACTATAGACACTAGGGCTTGAGGCATAGCTTTTCGTAAAGTATTTTCCAGACAAACACAATGAGCTGAGTTTGGCCCCCAGAATCCACGTTAAAATGACAGGTATTCAATAGGCATAGTGGTATACACCTTTAATTCCAGCAGTTGGGAGGCAGAGGCAGGCAGATCTTTGTGAGTTTGAAGCCAGCCTGGTCTACACAGTCAGTTTCAGGAAAGCCAGAGCTACATGGTGAGATCTTGTCTTGAAAAAAACAAAAGGAAAAAACCAGGTATGATGGATCATGTGTGCAATCCCAGTGCTGAGGAGGCAGAGCCTTAGCAGACATCCCCGGGCTCACTGGTGAGCCTGCTTAGCCAAGTCAGCAAGCACCAGTCCATGAAAGATCCTGGCTCAAAAAGCAAGGTTTGACCTCTGGCCCCTGCATGCATGCACACATGCATACATGCATATATCCACATATCCAAGCGCACTGTGTGGTGTAAGGAAAGACAAACTGGCCATTATAACAGATAGAGTACAGAAAGAGACCTATAGAAGCCTCCAAGTAATAATAGTACACAGTGTAGGATTCTGTGAGAAAAAACTATCTTGGATCATTTCTCTTGTAAATACACACACACACACACACACACACACACACACACACACACACACACACACACACACGGAGAGAGATCATAGATCAAGAGATGAAACCAAAGATATA